TGAGCTTCAAAAAATCCTTTAAAATATACATATCATGGTAATAAGAAGAAATGTTTCTTGAATATTAGAATGATTGATATGAATGAATGAATGAATGATTTCAGTTCATGTTACACTTAAGACTGGAGTAATGACTACTGAAAATGCAGCTTTGCCAACACAGGAATAAACTCTTTAAAATATATAAAAATAGAAAAGAGTTATTTTATGTAATAATATTTCACAATATTACTATTTGTATTGTATTTGTGATCAAATAAATGCAGCCTTGATGAGCATAAGAAATCTAACTGACCCTAAACCTTTACAGTAGTGTAGCTCAAAAAAAAAGAAAAAAAAAGACAACTATGTCAAAAAACAGAAAGCCTTTAATGACAAATATTTAGAACTATGAAACTGAAGCATTGATGAGTGCGGATCTTTTTGGGCTGATTCAGGCTGCATGCTACACCTCCATGAAGTGACAGACAGGAAGAGAATGGATGGAAACGCTTTAAGGAAGACAGGAGGATGATTGTGAAATAACAGATATTCCATGGCAGATGGCAAGTGAAATGTCCTTACAGCATGTTATCAGTGTTAACATGAGGGGGCTGAGTGCTACATGACGTGTAAACTGTGGCAAAACAAAGCCACACTCATTAGTTTCACTCCGCATAATTGATCAAGACGGCACAAAAGACCAAATAATTACAGCTGCGATGTCACAAAACAAGCTTAAATATGACTCAGTCAGGTTCATCCTGGCAATCACAAACATACAATTTAAATGTTAAACAGAAGCAAAGCTGAACATAGCCTAAATGTATGCAAACACAACAAAATATGGATATAAAGTTATTCCTCCTTTTACTGGAAGGCAATATTTTTTGTCAGTATATAATATGGTTCACATGGCTTATTTATTTAGTAATACTTACAGATTATTTGTCTTAAATATTCACACTTTACTTTATAAGAAGCTACTGGTTCTTCAATATCAGGTCAACAATATTAAAAAAAATGCATCGGGTAGGTCGCTAAACAGATCACACCTAAATAAAGTTTTAAATATGTTTTAATTATATGTAATGATTACTGTGTTAAATACAGCTTAACTTGTAACAGAAGTGCATTTAAACTAAAATATTGTTACTCTTATTTATATTGCATATTACATTTTGTCACCAATATTCACACATTTTTACATAAGAATTTGTCGGTTCCTCATCATTGTCATGATTGGAAGCGCTCTTTTAACTTTACCAAACGCATTCTATATGAGATACATCAGATATACATCAAATAAACACAATATTACAATGTACAATTGCACAAAAGGCTGCAAACGAACAGCGCGCATCTGAAGTGTCTCTGAAGGAAATAATGCATTATTTATCGGCTTTAAGATATCGGCCAAATTTTCTTATCAGGCCGATACCGATAACAGAAAAAATGAGCCGATATGGGCCGATACCGATATGGTGGCCGATATATCGTGCATCCCTATCAAAAATACCATTATAAATGCCATCAAACCAGAAGACTATCACAAAACAATGGCAACATGTTACTGTGTGTATAACAGGAAACAGCAGTATTCATTAAGTTGCTTTTAAATAAAATTATTTTAAAAAGTTTCATATTTAATATGGTGCTGTAATTATTCATATATATATATATAAATAAAACTTTCTACATTACTAAAAATATTAGTCGTTTTCTTTTATTATGCATATTGTGTTTTTATAGTTTCGTCCAAAAATGCTATTCATTAATGCCTTCTATGCATTATTGTCAAAACGCAGACATAACATGATTAACGGTTTCGCATATCGGTCATATGACACTTACAAACAAACGTTTCTGTCATAAAACACCTTTAGATTTTCAGTTATAATGATCATCCACTAATAACTATGTCTGCAGCAAACACCAAAATCGGTTAATAAGCTACATGTGTTTATCTATAGCACCAAAAATGTGTTATTTGGAGGATCTGGAGGGACAGCAGAATGATCACAGCGCCACTCAGAAGCTAATAAGCTAACACCAGTTAGCCAATCAACAGCCTCAACTAGCGGGCTCCGCTAGCTCTGCTAGCATTAAGGGTGCACCAACTTCCTTTTACTGAACGATGGTAAATATGCGACAAATATATTTACAGAGCCACAGTCATTGGTTTATTGATAGTTATATGTTCAAAGTGCAGCCACTATGGGTGCTTGGTCGCGCTCAAACACACAGCGCGAGCGAGAGAGAAGCGCCGAAGAAGGGCAGCACGCGCTTCTTCGGTGGTAGTTTGGCGGAATCCGCCCGTTCGCGAAGGGCGAATGTCTCCCCCAGTCGAGTCTCCGAGACGACAGCTACTGTTAAATTACAGAAACTGTAGATAACCTTGGATTAGTCGCAAAAAAACATTGCTCCGGTAGGATAAAATAAACAACTCACCGATTATGGCCTTCTCCTTTCGTAACTGTCAGAAATGTTATTCGGAACGTCTCAACAAAACGCGATCTCATTGGTCCGCAGCACTTTTCAAGTCCGCCAATAGAATTCCCCTGAAGTCAAGCGTACTTGCCCAAATACGTCATCTAGGGCTCTGCAGGTGCAACATCAGTGAGAGAGGAAAATATCCAAATCTATGACTATTTTAATTGGATATTGAAAATTATCGAAAAAAGAAAGTACGAAAGGACGTCTCTAACTCTGTATGCAACCACTGTTTTGTTTTTATACAAACCGAGTTGCATGGTTTAGGACATCATAACATTGATTACAATAGTATTATTTGCTTTATCATACAGTTCATAAACAAGATTCAACAATATAGATCTGCTTTGAATGTCATTAGAAACAACAACAACAAAAAAGACGACGTGTAATTTTACTATTGGGCTTATTTGATTCATTTGGCATTTTTGACATGAGATTAAAATCATTTAAAAATCAGTAATGAAACAAAATCTGATTAAAATTAAATGGAAATAATTTCATAATCACATTTAACCATTTTACATTTATAAGCTTCAAAGTTTATAGCCACTTACAGAGGCTTTGTTACAGAAAAGCGGCTGCTGTTGTTATGAAGTTACAGAAATGAAACGTGTTCATTAATGACAATCACATATACATAGGCCTGTATTAGATGGAAAAGGTTTAAAGGCGTACAGAATCCATTTAGCTTACATACAGCAGTTCAAAATCGAATAATTTTTTCATCACCTGTAAGTCTAAAAGCTAGGGTGCTTTGCAATTCTTTGTTCAGACAAAATAATTTCGAGTTAATGAATGATGAGACTACAGAAATGCTAAAGTTGCTTGAAGTTCAAGTCAGAAAGAAAGGTGACCGGATATCTGCGTGTCTGAAACAAACACTCCATCAGTATTCAGTGTATGATGGCTCAGTGGCTTATAGAGTAATCAAACTTATGCCAAAGGACTTGGGCTGAGGTCTCGGTCTCCTCTAATGAAAAAGTACGGTTATATACTTCTAGAGTAAATAAAGAAGTGGCCTCAAATGTTAGGCCTATGTTTTTGTTATACAGTTGTAATGACTGCACACCATATTGTTAAAAATACGAATGACTTAATAATGAAAAGCGATGGACAAAAGACAGTAGGGTTACACTTTTTTTTTTTAAGAATAATGGAACATTTTTATTTGTTGACGAAGAAAGATGAATGCAGTAAGTGAGATAAGACTGAAAATGATTATAAGGTCAAATCAACACAAACAACATTAAACATTTTTCTTCATGATTTAATTTCTTATCCCCACCCTCTAATCTGTACTAATTTACAAATGTTAATACCTAATCAGAGAGTGAATAGAGGACAACAGACTTCCAGAACCTCCTGATTGGCGTTTGTCGTCGGGGGCTTTTCAGTGCACTGTGATCAGTCTAAACACATAGTTGTGCCCAATTGAAAGTCTACTCAGAATTGAACATCTGGTGCCATTATTCTTTGAATGTCAGGCAATGTAAATGTCCTACAATCATACAAATGCAATAAAGCATTTCAAATTCTGACCCTCAGCTGTAGCAGTGAGTTAAGAGGAAAATAAAACAACTGAATTTTGAAGGATGTTCAGATTCTGAATCCACGAGGACCCCCACTGGTGATCAAAAACACTGGTCTCTCCAACCCTGTTGATCTCTAGAGAGCATTTCGATATTCCTTCCCTTTAACAAACACCTAAACATTTTTTAACCTTTAACAAATGCAGGGTATCTGCATGTTTAAGACAACAAAGTTGAAAACAATAGGAGTATTAATGCCAGTTATTAAAATAATATGGTTAAAATACAGTATTATTGTAAATTGCATTCTTGATGGAAAAAATAAATTTTTCAAACCTACTTTTTAAATTATTTTTTTAAGGTGCTTTCAGGCAACAAATATACTAATTTATTTGAGCCTTTTGAATATCTGTCCATTAAATTAAAGACCTCCAAATTGTTTTATCCATTTTTTTATGCCATTTTAAATATTTAACACTTTTTATGGCCTTTTACTGTTCAAAAATTTATCAAAAATTGCATAATCCATGGTAAATAAACAATTTAACCCACGGAGACATTTTATAACTTTATTAATGAGTTTATTATTTATACCAACAAACAAAAACATTGTTTATCTCTCCCTCTCTCTCCCTTTAACCGTTCATCTTTTCACTGATGGGCCGAGCAGCCTGTGTGTGGTAGTGTGTACCTGCCCTTTCCAGAACATTCCGTCAGACAATATTCCAGAGTTTGAGATATGAACGTTACACCAAATGACATCACACACACAAACCCCTCCCCCATCAGATTGTTAAAAACAGAATCAGACAGCAATACAATAAATAAAAGGATCAAAATTAACACTGATGAGGAGGGGGAAGGGCAGGCAGGCAGGCGCGCGGGCGGGCGGATGAGGAGAGAGAGTAAGAGAAAGGGACTGAGAAATATCAGGTAAAAACAAAATTTTGTTCAGTTTTGTCTTTTTCCCCGGATGCAGGGAGAGGCTGGATGAAATGTTATATACAGTTGTATGATGAAGGGATAGGAGGAAAGAGGGAGGGAGGGCGGCCGAGAGACAGAGAGAGAGAGAAAGAGAGACCAAGAAAGGCTGGTTTCTGCTCATTCCAGCATTGCTCCACTAGAAGAAAAATCTAATTACAAGGACAACAGAATAACAATAACAAAAATAACAAAATAAAAGGTACATGGCATTTACATATTAGCAATGAGAGGAGGAGAAGATAGGAAGGATGGAAGAAGGGAAAGACAAACAGCTCCAGTCTCATTTGCTAAGTGTTCATGGTGTGTGTGGGCTCATGTATCAACGTGTCTTTTAGATGAACATCAGCTAAATCCACATTTAACAGGCATGCCGATGTATATAAACACACACGTGGCATAGACTCTTGTACAACAGAAAAGCTAACACAGCTAGTGATGGGACTGACCTACCAGCTATGTGTGTGTGTGCGCGCATGCACAAAAAACAAAAGTGAGCACGTTTTACAATGAAACTGACAAAAAAAACCCCAGATAAACCTTGCCTCAACTTCTCCAAATACTCTCCTTAAAAGAAATTAAAACAAAAAGTGTGCAATGATTACTTAAAATTGACATTCGCACATAAAGACACCCATTTTCATCTCTGCGAAGAGAAACAGCACATCCTGACACACAGACACTGACAACTCACGCTCACCGCTTCATAAAACCCATCCTAAAGAAAGCTAAAACGTATCACTTTAAGAGCAAAATTATATTTAAATGAGCTCGACATATTGTTTAAAAGTCAAATGGAAGGTACCAGAGGCAGAGAGCAGAAACTGTGCGGTGCTCTTCATGCCACTAGGGGGCACATGTGCCCTAAGCGGGCCTTCCCAGTCTTTAAACCGAAACATGACAATCATCATGCTAAATTTAAATCCTGTGATGATTGACGTCATTAATCTGGGCATCAAACACTTCTTTCATCATGACGACACATAACACGAGGTGACGAGTGTGCGTGCTTGTGTGTTTGTGAGAGAGAGAGACTGTTTGGAGCTGCTTTTGGGAAGGAGAGAGGAATGAGAAAGAAGGGATGAGGAGAGAGGGGTGATAACGTCGCAGAAATGCCAAGGGAACAATTAGGTGTTGTTGCTCAGGGGTCCCGGTGCTGAGCTAGACTGGGCTGGACCGTCTGAACCGCTGCCCTCTGTGAAGACACACACGCATGGAGTTAAAATAACACAGGACATGTGGATTCACAAATGCATACGGACTGACAGGAAGGGTATTTGGTATGTATGTGCGATCAGTACCGTGTGAGGCAGGTGTCGTCTGCGAGCGAGCATGGGGAGGAATGAGAATGGAGTTCAACTGTGGTTGGATAGACAGCTCTGCAGGGGAGAGAAAGACAAAGAATTAGCCATCAACATCTAAACGTGTCAAAACCCTAAATAGCTTTTTACTTGCGTCACAGGATGTGAAAGCCGTCTCAAATTACAAGCAGTAGAACTATTACCTTCTAAGTTTCCTAAAAGCCAAAGTTCGATGCATAGGTTGTGACAAGCTCAAGAAAAAAGAAGGTGATTAACAAAATGTACCATTTTACCCACTATTTGCAGAGCTTCAGACCAAAAAACGGACTAGGGAACCACTGGCTCTTAAAATTAAACCTTTTTTAGCTGGCAGATTACAGAATCACACAATATAGATGGCGCTGACATTTTTGCTTAAGCTCACTTTTCCAGATTTATCCAGGATCTATTGCAGCGGGGAAAGATTCAAATGGCAATGCATTAAATCATACATTTTTAAAGCTCTGTACTATGTAAGTGTGCAGTACGTTGTTCCTATACACACTAGAAGTATAAATACATCAAGTGCACTTCAGCTCATTGAGTGGCCAGTTTAGTTTCCTGCTTTTTAGCAAACAGACATGACATGGGCTGTGTTTAAGGGACATTGATCTCAAAAGCCTCTGCACACTATTGCTATAGTGAATTACATGTAAAGTGAAATTATTTAATGTAAAATAGTACAATGTTTAAGTTATATGTACTTGAGCTGCATACACTGCCATTCAAAAGTTTGGGGTCAGCAAGATGTTTTTGAAAACAAGTCTCTCTCTTTCCAAGACAGGATTTAAGCAATACAGTAAAACCAATAATATTGTGAAATGTTTACTATTTAAATGAACTGTTTTCTGTTTTAATACATTTGAAAATGTAATTTATTCCTGTGATGCAAAGCTGAATTTTTAGCAGTCATTACTCCAGTCTTCAGTGTCACACGATCCTTCAGAAATCATTCTAATTAGAAATCGACCGATATCTCGATTTACCGATATTGTTCCCGATATTTAAGCATTTTACCATAATCGGATATCGGTTTTGTAATATTGGATTCACCGATAAATGCCACCATCCTGTGGGTGTTTTGAGAATTGCACGCAGGATCGCCATTGCAGTGCGTCTGAGGGGAGATGAGACAACAACAACGGCATGGTGCAGGTACTTGATTTGCTGTAGTTAGTAAACTTTATTTAACATAACAGCCATTTATGCACAAATTAGATGCATTACATAAATGCCTGATATGTAGTTTATGCAGCTTGGCTTGAAGAAATAGAGACCAACTCATGGAGTCACGTAAAATAATCCGTCAAGTCCTGTCCCAATAAAGACGTAACTTTGACTGAATTAAATAATATGCAGCCATGAATGAGCGCATGTTGGAAATGTCTCTCTGTTGTAGATTTGCTCAGTCTCGTGAAGCCGCTTTCATATTGCTGTTCACTCCCCGGGTTGATGCTCAGGAAATGCTCCAGCACGGCCATCGCATGTAACTTTTAACAAGATTAACTTGTTTAAAACACCCTAAATTGTATTAACATTTATATTATAACCATTATTTCGCTAATAAACATCTAAATAAATACAACTATATGGAAATTAATTATTTATTATTTCCGCGAGCGATCGCAGTTTGAGTATAGTTCTGTGTAACTGCATAGATAAACCACACTGTCAGCAGGCATTTCATAATCTAGAAGGACAAAAACATTATTAATAATTCTGATATAACATTCCAGTTGAGAAATGCAATAAAATACAATGTTTTGTTTGTTATATTCCAATATTCCAGAGAATATTATTCAGTGAATTATTTTTGACTCTGTAGCTATTAAACAGCTTATAAACCTACTAAAACTGTAGTTTAAAATGAAGTTGGTATGACTCCTGTCCTTTACTTATTTTCTCCATTTGAAAACATTAGACATCCTACATTTATTTTGCTTATTTTTAATATTAGTGTTGTTGCTGTTGATGCTTTTTATAAATAAAATTGTTGTAATATGAAGATTAAATTTAACATGAAAGCCTGCTAATTTTCAACACTTAAAAATAAATAAATAAATAAATAAATAAAAGAAGATGACTGAAAAGAGGAAAAACCAAAGTATGTTCTTACTTCACTCAGTCATTTATTTACTTTATAACAGTAAATAAATATCGGTTCTCGGGCACATAAACGTGCAAATAATTGGTATCGTATCGGTTATAAAAAATTCAATATCGGTCGATCACTAATTCTAATATGCTGGTTTGGTGCTCAAGAAACATTTATTATTATCAAATGTTAAAAACAGGTTTGCTTTATATTTTTGTGGAAACTGATTTTTTTTAGGATTCTTTGGTAAAAAAGAAATTTCAAAAGAACAGCATCTGTTGTTGTGAATAAAAGTTCATTTCTTTACAAAAAAAAAAATATTGACCCAAAATGTTTGAATACTAATGTATATAGTAATTCTAATTCAAAATCGAATTGATCAAGAAAGCTTTATTTCAGTTTAAATGCAGTAATCAGAAATATAATTTAATCAGATTAGTGATTTGCTAATCGGGTTGTTTCTGTTGGTGTGAAAGAATGAAAATTGCAAGCTGCTATGATGTTCAAATCGTGAATTAATTACTTACGAACTGGTTAAAATTATGCTCAAGCTTCAATCTAACACACTTATTCACCGAGCAGAGTCATTTTTGATGAACCAAAAACCATTGGTCTGCTGTGTTTACTTTTAGGTTCATCAGTCTAATTACTGACTGGTTGTTCATTTGACAACGTGTAGTTAAGTTCAAGACACGCTCACTTTACAGTAATGAATAGTATACTAAATTAAAAAAAGGTAATAAAAATATTTTTAGCATATATAAAGCCAAGCTGTAAGGCTAAAATAAGCAATGTTTAACCTTTTTTTTTTTTCTTTACGGAACATCAATAGTGCCAGCATCAATTTGGAACTAAATCCTTTTTTTGCATGCAACCACTGTATTCACATTCTGATTGTGTTGCTATTTTTTTAGCTGCTTATTAGAATTTTCACTTCTAAAACAACAATGGGTGTCAGGCACATTTCTTGTGCAAAGTTTTGTAAATGCTTTTTATAGTTTTCTTTAAAGAACACCTCAGATCAGACACACACCAAAACACACTTTGGGTAAAATACTGTCACAGGCATTAGACAAAATTAGCTCTAGATACAAGTACCGCCTCAACATACTAAACCGTAAGAGTTTTTCTAATGTGCGCAAGATAAAAAGACAAAAATATAGAAAGAGAATGCATGAGCCTCCGATTAATCCGATGTGGCTGAATCTGAATAGAAGTGGCAGTTCTTTCAGTTCAACTCACCCACAGGGCTGAAGTTGAAGAGTTGGGGAAGTTCTCGGCCATTAGGCAGACGGGCATTCGGCTGACGCAGCTCGTCAAAGAAGGCGTGTGCACAGGCCTCCAGCGGAGAGAGCCGCGTCACTGGTGTGTACTCCAACAGACGAGAACACAACGAGATGGCTTCAGGAGGGGTCCTCGGCTTAAACACCTAACAAACGCACAGAATCACAGAGAAATGTCGCATCTGACAAGCTTAAAAATGAAAGACCAGTTTAAAAATGAATCGGCCTAAACCATTTTAGAGAGCCAAAATCATTGACCGGAACAGTGGCGTTAATCTAGCGCTGATCAGATGGCATGTTTTGACTGTCAGCATCTATTTCATGCAAACTTTGCAATTTGGATAAACCACAGGTAAACATGTCAGCTTTGTGGACACGACGGCTGGTACGACAATATGGAGTTAAATCTATCTACAATTTAATGAAACATTTTTGTTTAGTCTATGGTTTTTTTCATTTGAACAAAACTTCACTAAACTGCATTATGTGCACTATAAATGTTTAAATGTAACTCAGTTGTTATTCGAAGTGTTCATTATTAAATACATTTGATTAATAAACCTTATTTTTATTTTTGGTTTTCAGCTAAATAAAATTTTTTGTTACCAAAGTTATTTCGGAGCATCACTAGCTTACCCTTCTATAAAGTCCTAAAATGTTTCTTTCTGTGAGATAACCGTAAACTATCACAGCAACAGGTGCTTTACCTTCGTCCAAGGGTGTGCTTTGATCTGTGGGAATTTAAACTCTGTGTAGTTGGGGTTCATCTCTCGGATCTGTTCTCTCGTCGGGGTCCCCAAAACCTGCAGAGGTTGGACAGAGTGAGAATTAAGACTTGTGTCTATGTTTACTCTTCAAAATACAGCAATGTAGATCTTCCACTCACCTTGATGATCTCCACTAGCTGGTCCACTCCACTGTCACCGGGGAATATGGGCTGTCCCAGAAGCAGCTCTGCTAATACACAGCCAGCTGACCAGATATCAATGTTGGATGTGTAATCCGTGGCTCCAAATATTAGCTCAGGAGCGCGGTAATACCGCGAACAGATGTATGACACATTGGGCTCCCCCCGAATTAACTGTTTTGCACTGTGGAGATCACACAATAGAGGGTTATAAAAATCTTATCAAAAATACACACATGTATACAGTGGGCTACATATGAAGATGTACAATTGGCACTCTTTTTACATCATTTCTGAAAAATAGAGTTGAATTAAGAATCATTTTGGAATCAGACCAAGGTTCTATGAACCTAAATCAAATCTCAAGATTCCCACCGCAGGACACAGATGCACACAAGTTTGACACACAGGCCAAAACTTTCTGTTACTAGGCAGATTGTAGTGTAAATGCCCCAATATACTTCAAGCATAAACGAAGAATGAACTAGTGTGAAATCATTTCAAACTAAATCAGAACAAAAAGTTCATTTGCAGTTTGTTTTGGAGTTGCCACCTTTGAACTACCATTACCATTTTGTTATTGAGGGATAAGCACATATTTACATATTCACATAAATGATGATCTTATACAGTTAAAGGGATAGTTCACCCAAAAATGAACTTTTAATTAATTACTCATTAATTACTCACCCTCATGTCGTTCCAAACCCACAAGACCTTCATTTATCTTTGGAATACAAATTAAGATATTTTTTATGCATTCTGAGAGCTCTCTGACCCTCCCATAGACAGCAATGTAATTACCATGATCAACGTCCAGAAACGTAGCAAGGAGATCGGTAAAATAATCCATGTGACATCAGGGGTTCAACCGTAATGTTACGAAGCTTTGAGAATACTTTTTGTACGCAAAGAAAACAGAAATAACGACTTTATTATATAATTCATTCGTCATCTCCGCGTCACCCTAACGCCATTTTGGAGAGTATCCACTGAACGTAAACAGCGTATGCTGTTCTGTGTCAGCCGCACCACACGGATACGTTGTTTTCGTTCAAATCAAAGTGTAAATAAACGTAGAAAACATATCCACGTGGCGCAGCTGACACAGAACAGTATACACGGTTTACATTTACGAAGGGGGCAGTCGTGGCCTAATGGATAGCGAGTCGGACTTGTAACCCGAAGGTCGCGGGTTCGAGTCTCTGGTCCGGCAGGGATTTTAGGTGGGGGGAGTGAATAACCAGCGCTCTCTCCACCTTCAATACCACGACTGAGGTGAGACCCTTGAGCAAAGCACCAAGCATTGGCTGCCCACTGCTCTGTGTGCGTGTTCACGGTGCGTGTGTGCACTAGGATTGCAAAAAGGAAATATTCCGGAAACTTCACAGGATTTTTTGAAAGTTTCCACCCCTTTGCTACCCTAGTGTGTGCGTGTTTGTTCACTACTCACTAGGGCTGCACAATTAATCGAATTTCTAATCGCAATTACAATTATGAATGCCACAATTACGTAATCATTCGAAGCGGCAATTAATCGTTCAAAGTCCACTTATGTTATTCTGCATGCTTAAGGGTTTTTCCCCATTATTTAAACTTTAGTTTTAGTATAACATTATAATATACCATTTATATTTGTACTTTTTTATAATTTAAAGAAGAAACCAATCCGATGTATAGTTGACATTTGAGGCTTAATACTATAGAAACGCACAAAGTTTTTCAGTTAGTGTTTTCAGCTGGTTTATTTTCATATAAAAATGCGGCATGCAGTTGCATCAAACAATGGTATAAACATCATTCAATGTAAATTGTGATAATCGTAATTAATAATCGCAATTACAATTTCAAGGGAATAATCGACAATTATGATTTTTGTCATAATCGTGCAGCCCTACTACTCACTGCTGTGTGTGTGCACTTGGATGGGTTAAATGCAGAGCACAAATTCCAAGTATGGGACACCATACTTGGCCACACGTCCTTTCCTTTCCTTAATTTGTGTTCTGAAGATGAACGGAGGTCTTACGGGTTTAGAACAACACGAGGATGAGTAATTAATGACAGAACTTTCATTTTCGGGTCAAAATGTCAAAAGTTTACATACACCTTACAGAATCTGTCAAATGTTAATTACTTTACCAAAATAAGAGGGATCATTCAAAATGCATGTTATGTTTTCTTTAGTACTATTCTGAATAACATCTTCATTCTGTTCAAAAGTTTTCACCTCTTAATGCATGTTTTTTCCTTCTGGAGCATCAGTGAGCGTTTGAACCTTCTGTAATAGCTGCATATGAGTCCCTCAAAATCATAGTCATTGTTGGAAAAGGTTCAAATACACATTACACAAAAATGCTGGAAAACCAAAGAATTTGAGGGACCTGAAGTATTTTTCTGAAGAACAGCAGGCAGTTTAACTGTTCAAGACAAACAAGGGAGTCATGAACAACTATCACTAAGCAAGAAAAACAGTATTAAGAATCAAGTGTATGTAAACTTTTGAACGTGGTCATTTTTATAAATGTATATTTATGTAAATGTGTATTTTTATAAATATACGATTTTCTCTTGTGGACTATATGTAAACGTCTTTTATGTGAAATATCTTACTCAGATCAGTACTAAATGAAAAAAATAACATGCATTTTGTATGATCCCTCTAATTTTGGTAAAATAATGAACATTTTGCAGATTCTGCAAGGTGTATGTAAACTTTTGACCTCAACTGTACATGGGTGTGTTTCAAATACATGCCACACAGAGAAGCATCAGAACACACACCTGCCAAAGTCACACAGTTTGAGTATAGCTGTGTCTGGGTCCACCAGGAGATTCTGTGGCTTTATGTCTCTATGGCAGACGCCTTGGGAATGAATATATGCCAGACTGCGAAATAACTGATACATATACACCTGAGAAAGAAAGACAGATTGTGGGGGAGGAAAGAGAGAAAGAGATGTTATTGTTTATTGTACATATGAATGGGCACAGTAGCAGCAGTCATGACTACACAGTTGTGATGCGCGGATGGCGGTTATATCCGCGGGCGCTGCGGATAATCCGCAGATCGGGTGGGTCGGGTAATAAAAAAATGCATTCTGATTATTTGCGGGTGTGTGGATAAAATAAATTATAAATGATGCAAGTATTAACTACATTTTCTAAACTATGAACGTGTTTTAAATAGGCTACAGCAACTGAATAAACTGTAAATTAACATTAAAAGTTATTCAACAAAACATTATTTAGTCAAGAGCAGTAAGGGATTTTCTCTGTCTTTTGTTGTTTGATTAACATTAATAAAAGACGGCACAGCTTTATTAGGCTGCTATCACAAGACCTATTTCACGGATCCAATACTGATACTCGTGCGTTTTATTTTGCAACTGTTTACATTAACTTAAGACAAACCCAACAGTCCTTTCTCAATTTGGTACGGATGGCTTAAAAAGACGTGAAAATAATACATTTTTGTGACGATGCAACAATGACCGATTAGGCAACTGACAATTCTGTCAACTGTCCCGAAACGCGAGCTAAAGTCTTCTATCGCAGCGTGCAGCAGCTCTAGATGCACCGATGTGAAGCGAAAGTCAAAGAGAGAAGACGCGGTATAGCTGAATCACTTACGCTGTTTTCATCTGATGGTTTGTGTGGATTTATTTACTCATCTAACCTACACGCTATATTGAATAAAGGTTTTGCAGTAATTTCCCTCATTTTAAAGTCGAAAGCTGCGGGAATGAGTAATGCGATGTATGCGCAATCCCGCAATGAAATTCAGGATCTGATTAAACAATTCTATTATACAGAGAATTGTGAAATAGATTTTCATGACTTTTCAAAAAACTTTGAGTATTTATTTTTACAAAACTTTCTAGGCCTGGAAATTGCTGTTCAATTACTTTTCCAGGTTTTTCATGACCGTACGAACCCTAATGTGATGATCGGGTGCGGTTATCTAAATCAGACAAAAATACAGGTGCGGGTGGATAATTTATTTGAAGCTGCGGATTCGGGTGACGTTTTAGCTCATCCGCGCATCACTACTACACAGAGACTTACTTTGACATAGATAATGGGGATGGTGGTCTTGGACTTGTTGAAGTGGCGTGCCACCCTGTACACGGTTTCTGGTACAAAATCAAGCACCAGATTTAGATACACTTCATCTTTCTGAGGAGAGAAAGAGAGAAGATTGTTGAACAGAGATTACATTCTTCAAAAATATATTATTCACTATGACAACTTAATATCACTGGGAATATAAAAACTCAAAGGTTGGACAGAAAAATAACCTTTTCTCCACTGGAGTAGAAGAAGTAGCGTAGCCTGACAATATTACAGTGGTCCAACTTCCTCATTATCTGTAGCTCACGGTTCTGTGGAGAAAGCAATGATGTGTGAAGGACGGTAAAGTCAAGGCATGAAAATCAAACATCTATCATATTTAATGCATTCATCTGTGGAAGTGTTTCTCTGACTGTGCAGCCTATGTAAAACTAGTGCTGCATATATTACATATATAGATTGCAAGCAATGCTCACTTCGAGGTGGAAGGCTGTGCCTTATTCTGTCTGTGAGACACTACACATACTCATGATTCAGTGTTTTCACACCCCCATTTACATTTGGTATTAACATGTTTTTCGGGGCTGAGATGAGCCTTATTGCCATTTAAATCCTTACAGGTTTGTGGGGTGTGTTTCAATAACATGTGTTGCGAATGCCAAGTATTCCAGGCTCACATGTGAGTAATTTCAAACATTTCTGGCTGCTACAAATATTTATGCAAAAATGAATACAGAATGAGGAGATAAAAAAATACTGTAAATACACAAATCATGACAGAAATATATTACACTAACACTACATTACTAATTGTATATTCTAATACAGTTCTAAAATCGAATAATAATAAATATTACATCGCAATTATATAATATTTAATACTTTTACAAAGTCTTGATTTAGTTTTGGGGGTGTACTAGAACAGGCTCTCATACTAGATTGTTCGAAAAACACATTATTTTTCACATATTTCACATTATTACAACACCTATCTCCCCAGTCTGGCATGAACGGCTCGAATAGTTCCCGTATCAAATGAAGGCTCGACTTCTGAAATGCTGCGATTGGTTAGTTGGGCCAGTGTGTGCTGTGATTGGTTAGCTGGGCCAGTGTGTGCTGTGATTGGTTAGCTGGGCCAGTGTGTGCTGTGATTGGTTAGCTGGGCCAGTGTGTGTTGTGACTGGCAGCACTCGGCGCCTGGTCGGGAAATGTCACACCCCTTATCATAGGCCCCTGCGAGCTTCAGTGTAAATATTGCATCAAAATCGAATTAATTTGAGCGCGATTTAAACCCGGATGATTGTAACCACTCTAAGTTCATCTGCCTTGGGGAAAGCTAGCATGTCTCCGACATAGTGATGATAACACTCGTTGCCTTCTCTAGTGCAGCTCAACCAGGTCTCGTCCCATTCGTCGATATTTGTGATATCACAAATCCCGGAAAATATGCGTTGTAGTCCAAACGAGTCATTCATTGTAGTTTTTGAAAAGTGATTTCTGTTAAATAAAATATCTCCTTTTGAAGTGGACTTTGAGCTTTGTAACTTTGCAGACCTTTTTTATGCTCAAACAGCAACATCACAGACTAGCTAAATTTGAACAAGTGAAAAAGCATAATAGGACCCCTTTAAGTAGAAAAACAGTTACTGAGAAGTGGACTGATACCCTATTACAGCTAAAGTGGATCAAAAAGAGATCAGAGTCAACCTTCAAGCCCAGGTACAACACTAATGCAATTTTTTTTGGTAGGCCTGTTCACTTTTGAGTAGGGCTGGGCGATATAGCTAAAAAATGTATCAACGATATGTTTCATATTTTTCGGTATCGATAATTATTGACATTTTTATAACCTTTTTATAAAACAGAGCAATTTGTTTACATTTAACCACTGTATTTTTAAATTAACTAAATTTAATGAGACAACAAATATTGTTTTTGTTTTAACAAATTTTTTTTGTTTTAACAGTCAATCACAAAATAAAAAAATTAAACAAATGTCTCGTTTCTAATGTTTTATATGCAGATTAAATAGGTTAAAGGGTTAGTCCACCCCAAAATGAAAATTCTGTCATTAATTACTCTCATGTCGCTCCAAACCGTAAGACCTTTCTTCATCTTCAGAACACAAATTAAGATATTTTGATGAAATGTGAGAGCTCTCAGACCCTGCATAGACAGCAACACAACTGAAATATTCCCAAGTCCAGAAACGTAGTAAGGAGATCGGTAAAACAGTCCATGTGACATCAGTGGCTCAACTTCAGTTTTGCGAAGCTACGAGAATACGTTTTGAGCGCAAAGAAAACAAATATAATTTATTCAACAATTCTTTGTTGAACTGCAACTGTATTTTTGCATTCAAATGCAAATGTTTATTTTAAATTTGACTAATATTAATTTTTTTATTCACTATCTCCTCATCACAGGCAGGCACAGCACTCATGTTCGTGTTCGTGTGTGCTGTCTGCGTCACTCATAAGACATGCCCATATCGTGCACTATATCGAACATTTTTTATATCGTTATCGAAGAAGGTGTACCATCGATAAATATCGATACCGTTTCATCGCCCGGGGCTACTTTTGAGTCCGTTTGAAAGAGGTTCAGGTCTTCTGAAAATGTGAAGAGCAACATTTCCTCAAGGCAGTAGAGCCTGGACAAAACAACTGGAGTCATAAGACAAGTTTGTAGTTTATGAACACACCGATGAACTTAAAAGGGGGTGTTTTCAATGTGATCTTAAGCCTTTTTATTCTTTTAGCTTTGTTATCTAAGCAGAAGCAACATGAGATATTAAATGTTTATTACTGGTCAAATCGTAATGACAAAAAGAAAATTCCAACATGATTGTAGCAGCCATATTTCATGTTGGAAATGGTTTTATGCATTTTAGGGTTATTTATTATGATACTAACATCAGTTTGTACACAATCAGGTTTTCTTACTCCTCTTACCTTAAACCTCTTATCCTGAAGCACCTTCTTTATGGCCACCATCTCCTGGCTGTCGATGAGTCGAGCCTGGTACACCACTCCAAATGAGCCATTCCCGATCACCTTGATGTCTGTGTACGAGACCTCCTGAGGACGGTCCGGACCCTGCCCTGGTGTGGCTACTACCGTTGTTACTTTCCCACTATCCCCTAAACACACAACAAAACAAGTGTTTTTTTTTAAACAAAAGGCCTTTGCCTGAAAGATCTGACTGCTCAAAAGAATGAAGATTTAAACCACAGGAGTCATTTTTCCCCCATGTATGACCTGAACGAATGCGGTTACATATTAAACACTACTTTTGTAGTCAATGTGATAAAATTACAAAAAGAACATTCTCAAAAACAGTGACAGACATCTGACAATGTACCTTAATAGTCTTAATTTAATTCATGTTTAAAAGGGTTTGCTCAGCCCTAAAATGAAAATTCTGTCAGCATTTACTCACGTCGCTCATGTCGCATTCCCCTCATGTCGCTCCAAACCCATAAGAAATACGATCATCTTTGGAACACAAATTAAGATATTTTTAATAAAATCTAAGAGATTTCTGTGCCTCCTGCAATTTAATTCAAGTCTGCTGATATATGATCGCCTTATATGATGAACAGATCTATTTATAGGCTTTTATTCACATATAAACATTAATAAGCTAACAATGTTAACAGCAATATTTGGTGATGGAAGCTCAAGCACGCTTGCTTGTTTGAGGTGCAAGGACCAATGAGATCAAGGCAAGTATGGTTGAGCGATTTATGTTTGCTGATCTATGTTTATATGTGAATAAAAGCCTAAATTAAATCTGTTCGTCATATAAATCAACCATGTTTCTTCAGAAGACTTGGATTAAATTGCTCAATTCATATGGATTTCTTTTTTGATCTCTTTAAAAATGTTTTATAGGGTCAAGACGAGAGTAAAATGTCAATTTTCATTTTGGGGTGCACTAACCCTGTAAGTAAGAGACTGAAAAATGCACTGGACTTACTATTTTATAGTAATATTTCAGTTTTTCTACTAAACCGTTTTTGTAATATCAGGTGAATTAATGCATTTAAATTGTTATTACATTCGGTTGGTCTCTAAATATTAGCTTGTATAACAAAAGCAGAATCATACCATTGTGTGAACTAACAAGTGAAATAAGTTATTAAAAAATATTATTATTTTCTAAATCTAATTATTTTCTCTGTATTTTTAATTCTGCCCTAGCTTCTGTCAAGAGCACTGGACCAGTGCATGACACTAACTAAAAGAGGGTTACTTTTATCTTTGTTGCCTATACACATTATTAGTGTCAAACTTAGCCTTTCTGAGGTTAGTGATACTCAAGTGCATTTAGATTTGTCCATCCAAAACAAAAAAAGTAATATGAATTTAATTTCCCCTGGAAAATAACGTAATATCTGTGATAACACACAGCATTTTGAATAAATTGTCAGAAGCAGAGCACTGCTGTATGATGTCCATGTAGTCATTCATTTTATGCTGCAGGATTGGTGGTGGACACGTTCCTCGTGGTAAAATCACAGGAAAATTATGCTCTGACAGTATTAATTATGAATCTACCATGCAATTTCAGCTGAGAAAAACATGAGTAATAGCTCTAATCAGCTGGTGAGTGTGGTGATTTGAAAAGACAAGTCACATGCAACATTTACGGTTATTTTGTGGTGCCTTGCATGCTTTTTGAAGCATGAAATTACAGGTCCTCACTGCACTGGAATTGGTGAGCAGCACATTCTTTAAAACTTCTTTCGCACTCCATGGAAGAAAGTCAATCAGGTTTAGATCGACATGAGTGAGTAAAACGTGAAATATTCCTCAAAACTACTCCTGAATGCCTGAGAGAGCTTTATATTCAAAAGACATGAAAACAAAGCAAAAAGTCCAAACCCAGCATTAGACCTACAGTGGTTAGATCTTTTTGAACTCATCTTATCCAGCACGCTATGCCTGTTTGCCACTCTGTCTGACAGGTGTTAATAGTAATCCAACACCCATGTTTAGATGAGTGTCCAAACACAACAGAACAACGGGTAGAGCTTATCACTAGGAATAGCAGAAACTCCCTTAAGACTGTTTGAACATGGGTGGAGTCTACTAAAGTCTGACCACATTTCCACCTGTGGCCAAGAGCAGACCTGAATAATGGGGACGCCTGGAGACAAGCAGAGCCCTAGGGTGATGTTTTTTCCGTCAGTTTAGATTTTAGATGAGGAATGACAGATTCACCAAAACAAAAGCTTTGTTTTATTACACGGCAAAACTATTATTTACCAGATCAAAGCAGAGCAGACAGCTGTTGGCATGCATGACATAGACAGTTGCTGCTATTGAGAATTTTTCATCAGAATAACACTGCTTCGACTGGGATGAGAAACACTGTGGGTTAGTGGCTTATTTAAATTGCCACCACATAAAATGTCATTTTGAATACCAATTTGTGGATGTTGCATAGAAAAAATTTGGAAAATGTGCAAAAATCATTACATTTGAGATGGATATATTTTTATTCAGGAAGGCAAGCTCATTAACTGAGAGAAAGATTATTACAGAATAATTTGCTACATGTGCATAAATGTCTTGCGACTTTTTCACAACCAGTCATGTGACTGAATAATTCTCTGAGTAAAAAAAAAAATCACCACATAGAATCTAAAATGATGCTATCGTGAATCTGAAATGCCAGAGCCAAAGCCTGCCATTAAAAAGACTGTCTAGTATGATCCTATAGGATGAGAGAGATGGATTCAGTCCAGTTAATGGCCTGGCACTTTGCCATGTGTTCATTGATCATGTTTATGCCATTTAGTTGCTTTCAGTGATGAACTGAATGACATTTTTTATAATTGATCCCAGCAGAAATCTATATATGAATATAAAAATAATGTATTTGCAAATAAAAATGTAAAGACATATATTACACATTATGCAAACTCTACGTTAATGACACAAAATGCATAATGTCTTTAGGCGAGTACAAATGTTAGCAGTGTAATTAAAAATGGTTACTATGCTGAAAAATAGGACAAAAACAGCCATGATTGTTGTGTTGTAACTACTGGTTCAAGGTTTCTCGTGGGTTACAGTTGTACACCCACCCACTCCATCTCCCCTCATTCCTAGTAATAACACCCATCACCATTCTCGTGGAAATCCAGCAGTCAGCACCAGTGTAGATAAACACTGCTGCCAGCACTGCAGTCACTGGGAATCATTTATAGAGCTCCAAATGAAGAGGTTTATGCCTCTAGGGAAACCACTAGTTTTCACAGGAGTAGCCCAACCACAAATTTACATTAGGTCATTTGTTCTTCATAGGACACGGTGTTTGTACTCAAAGCTATGTGATGATCTGTTAGATTGCGAGTAGGAAGGCTGGGTCATTTAACATTACATTAATAATAATAATAATATTATATTATAAATATTATGATACTTCTCCTTTAAATATATGGACAGGCAAACGCCAATTTGGCCCTCTTCAGGCAGGTTGAACTTAATATTAAGATTATTATTAAAGACATTTCTGATGCAACTAAATGCATCCAGGATCGCACATGATGAAATGATTCAAATCAAACGCAAAATTAAAGATACAGTCTGTTAGATGCTGCCGGCAGGCTAACTGAGCTTTGTTACCAAACGAGCACATCTTCAATAACGCGACGTCTAAACATCTAATAAACCAAGTATCATATTTTAAAGAAGGGTTCAAGCCAAGGTGGTCAAAATGTGATGCATTGGTATCGATCATAAGAGATGCGTTTAGCCAGTGCTCTTATGAAGGATTGTCGAGCTAATGTAGAGCAATCAAAGCCCTTGATCCGTCTACAAAAACAAGCTCACGTTAGCTTAGCCAGTTAGCCGCCTAAAGTGGGTTAACGCGATCATGGCAAAATAATCAGACAAATTAATGAACAGCACGCTACACGGTCCAGCACTTGGGCTTTTACTAGTCTACTAATATCACATTTATTGGGATTGTCGTGTGATGTCATTGAATGATACTCACTGCCCAGCTTTAGGTTTCCGAAACCAGACGAACTCCCGCCTGCGGCCTGCGCGCCCCCCGTCTTTCCTGAAGAGCTTCCGCCAGCGACGGCTGATCCGGCGGCGGCTGCAGCGGCTCCCGGGACCCCTGGAGGCTCAGCAAACGAGCTAGTCCTGGGCCGCCCGCTGCCGCTCATTTCGGGTTGCAAGTGTGCCAGAGCGGGGGTAAACTGTGCCTGTAGACTAGCCCAGGTGCGTAGTGGATATGTCAATTTAAACTATAATAATCGTTAAAAAAAATATTAAGATTGCTGAACTATTCTATCAATGGCAAATTGTGCGCCTCCTCTTTCTTTCTCTGTGGCTGGGCAACTAGAGCTGACGCACAGCGACGCTCTATGCGCATTGTTTTCTGGGTAACGAAGTTCAACAACGCTCTCACGTGCGTAGATCCTGCAGCATAAGAATGACCAGCTTTTCGTTCTTTTTTCATGCCAAGGGCTCATAAATAAAAATGCTAAATCTTTTTTGTCTTACCAGTAAAAACTATGGCCGTCAATGGAATAACATACTCGAAATGAACCTAATTTCCAAACCTCTAGAAAGCAGAATGTTTGAAAAGCCTTGCATTAAATAACCCAATGGCGTAACGCACTATAATACAGTTAATAAATAGACAACTCAAGATATAAATATCGAAATGATTACTTTGACTTCTGATGAAATGTGTCCCATTTGTTGTCGATTAAAATCTCTCGTTTCACAAAAACGTTTACACTGACAAATTGTCCATTTACATAGAAGTCAAACTGTTTTCCCCTTAATGAGTTCAGGAATGGTCTGAAATGTTTTAACAGCAGTGTCTATTACTTGAGGGACTAATCATATACATTTCATGAACAATTAATAATGAATACTTAACGATAAACACATAGTGTGTTTTGAAATGTTTTATTATTAATGAATTTATTGGTGGTTTAGGACCTTTCCATCAGCAGATGCAGCCTCGCATTCACATACTCTGACTGTCCATCACAAGAGCTAGAGTTTGAAAGACAGTCTTTCTATCCAATCAGCGCCTTGCACAAGCCACACGCGAACCTCCATGGGGAGGGCAGCATGCACAGAGCAAGGAACAGAGGCCAGACAAACGGTACATTTCCACATCCACGATCGTCTTTACGTCAAAATATTTAACAAATTGCGTGGCACTGAATAATACTGCTTCGTTGTGGCGAGAAACGCATTGTGGGCACCGGAACGCTTCCGCGGGGCCGACGAGCGCTGCACGAGGGATCACCCAGCTGCAGCGCGCGAGGCGAGGCTCGGAAACGGCTGGGGAAAGAAGGCCTCCCTTCAGCGCTCTTAGACCTGCGGGGAAAAGTGAAGAGCGCCGCCTGACGACCGCCGTACAGCGGGGTGGCTCGCTCAGGAGACAGCGGTGCGCTCCATAAGCTCTGGCAAAATCTGAAGAGCGCCACCAGCTGCTCGCCACAAGGTAAACCACTCGTCTGAAACCCTCTAAATGCTGTTGTTTGTTAGTACCGATTCCGCCACGACTAGTGCCAGAAGTTTTTACAGAAGTGTATTATCAGTCAGTTTGCTTTTAACACCTGCATCTGTTTTCTGATTTATTGATGAAGCGAAGTTATTGAATTGTCGACTCATGTTACGTTAAAATGTTTCACTATATATATATATAGTGAAACATTTTTGACTCCAAGGCCCCCTTTGTAGAAGACAGTATTTAGACCCTCCTATAATGTATAGTAATCTATGTGTAATAATCTCAAAATTATGTCAAAATTGTAAGTGTCTTTTAGCAGTTTAATTGGGATTATGTTAATTATGTTAACTAAATTTAAATAATACTTATTAGGGCCACTTGGACGTTTGCTGAGGCCTAACTGGTCTGAGGTGGTTTTATGGGTATTTCAAATTAACATTAAAGAGAAAATCAAGTGAAATTGTAAAGTTTGAATATTTTAGAAATTAAATGAAGGGTGAAAATTTGTGGGACATACTTTGTCCCATGTCTCAATGATCATATAAATTATGTTCATAATATCTATATTATTATTGACCCGTGGAAATCTAATCCTGAATGATAGGTTATATTTAATATGAAAGTGCAAGGCCAGACAATTTGTCTGGGAGTCTTCTGGCATATCTGTATTGCTTAAGTTATTATTATTTTTTAGGTTGTTTTAGGGTTTAGGATTCGTATCGAGCATAAGAATGCATACTGAACCCAGTGACTGTGACTCATAACCCCAGCACTGCATCTGCTCTTCAGCACACCGAGAGACTTTGCATCTTAACAGGTTTAGCACTGTGCAGTTACCATGAGTGAGCAGGAATATGTGGAGCATCAGTACATGTGCAGTGAGTGCCAGCAGCTCTTTAATACTCTGGAGGAGGTGCTGGTGCACCAACAGATCCACACCGGAGCAGAGGGGGACGAGGTCGAGGTCCTCTCGAGCCTTGAGGACTGTGACACTGGGGAGAGCCAGTATCAGTGCCTGGAGTGTGGAGCCATCCTGAGGAACCCAGACGAACTGCTGCTGCATCAAGAGCTGCACATGAGAGAGGCAGGCCAGGGTGAGTGCAGTGTTTAATATGTGTGCTGCTGTACTGCAAGTTTAGTTGGGGGTTTTTGAAAGTGCATGTAATCGGCACATGAATGCTTTATTTTCAGAGCTATGTGAGGTCACAGAGGTGGATGCTGTCGATGCAGATGTGCCAATCCAGTATCAGTGTTTGGAATGTCTGGCTCTCTTTGACACACCTGAGCTGTGGTTGGCTCACAGACAGACACACAACAGAAGCAGCACCCACAGCAGCTTGAGCACAGATACAGTGAGTACACACACACACACAAATAAACAAAGCTGGGTATCCATGCTGATTCTGATTTGCTCTCAATTTGTTTTGATTAGATTCCAATTCATTTGGGAGTGGTAGTGTTCATTTATGTAGGAAAGAAAATCTCTTTCAGCTAATGAGCCTTCTGACTTGGAATATTGTAAAAATGTTTATTTTAAAAAATTGACAACAGAGCCCAGACTATGCAGGTCTGTGGATGCGAGATAAAATTTTAGTTCAGCTGAATTAAAAAAAAAAAGTTTTTTAAAATGTTATTTATATGTAAAACTACTTTTATAACAATATATACATTTATTATAAAATAATAAACTCCCATGAAAAAGTATTGAAAAGCTTTAAATGTTTTAATATGGCTTAGGTATAAATCAAATAATTATTTAATGTACACTACTGCTCCAATGTCTAAGGTTGGTTGGTAATGTTTTTTTTAAATGTTTTTCAAAAGTCTTATATTCACCAAGGATGCATTGATATAAAAATACAGTAAAAACAGTAATTCTGTCAAACATTATTACAATGTAAAATAACAGTTTTCTTTTTTAAAATATATTTTAAATTGTAAAAATGTAGTTTTTTTCCAGTGTTGGCAAAGCTGAATTTTCAGCATCATTACTCCAGTTATCAGTGTCACATGATCCTTCAGAAATCATTCTAATATGCTGATTTGCTGCTCTTGTAACTTGTCATTGTTGAAAATATTTGCAGTTTTATGGGAAACCGTGATAAAAAAAATGTTCAGGGTTCTTTGATTAATAGAAAGTTCAAAACAACAGCTTATTTGAAATATAATTTTTTTTGTAACAATGTAAGAGTCTATACCAGCGGTGGCAAACTCCGGTCCTGGAGAGCCGCAGCCCTGCAGAGTACAGCTCCAACCCTAATTAAAACTCACCTGCCTGTAGCTTTCTAGTAACCCTTCAGACCTTGATTAGCTTGTTCAGGTGTGTTTGATTAGGGTTGACGCAAAACTCTGCAGGGCTGCGGCTCTCCAGGACCGACGTTCGCCACCCCTGGTCTATACTATCACTTTTGATTACATTACATGTATCCTTGCTGAATAGAAGTGTCATTAAAAAATCTTAATCCCAAACTTATAAACACTAGTATAGACAAATTAACAAAACAAAAAAAAAACAATACTAATATCAGCTAATAACTCTTCTCAATAACGTAACAATGCTGTCTAATAGAAGAATGTGTATGAGTACAGCTCCAACCCTAATTAAAACTCCCCTGCCTGTAGCTTTCTAGTAACCCTTCAGACCTTGATTAGCATGTTCAGGTGTGTTTGATTAGGGTTGACGCAAAACTCTGCAGGGCTCTCCAGAACGTCGGTCCTCTCCAGGACCGACGTTCGCCACCCCTGGTCTATACTATCACTTTTGATTACATTACATGTATCCTTGCTGAATAGAAGTGTCATTAAAAAATCTTAATCCCAAACTTATAAACACTAGTATAGACAAATTAACAAAACAAAAAAAAAACAATACTAATATCAGCTAATAACTCTTCTCAATAACGTAACAATGCTGTCTAATAGAAGAATGTGTATCTATTAAAACATTAATTGTTCATATCATTAAAAATGTCTACACTGTTATTGCTACAGTGTCAGGTTCTTAAGGTGTTCCTCTCCAGGACCGACGTTCGCCACCCCTGGTCTATACTATCACTTTTGATTACATTACATGTATCCTTGCTGAATAGAAGTGTCATTAAAAAAATCTTAATCCCAAACTTATAAACACTAGTATAGACAAATTAACAAAACAAAAAAAAAACAATACTAATATCAGCTAATAACTCTTCTCAATAACGTAACAATGCTGTCTAATAGAAGAATGTGTATCTATTAAAACATTAATTGTTCATATCATTAAAAATGTCTACACTGTTATTGCTACAGTGTCAGGTTCTTAAGGTGTTCAACAAACAACTTGCACATACTGCGGAGTAAAATATTAATCTTGTGATCTTTTCAGCAGTTTCTAATTTAATTTTGTGTTCTGTTTCAGGAATATGTTCTTCAGGCAGATGGTTCAGTCACTCCGCTGCAGTTGCTCAATGTTCAAAATCTAGTTCTGGATGAACAGAAGGCAGGCCAGATCCTGACCTTAGCCCAGGTCTGTTTACATACATACATACAGATATACACACAAAACAAATAAATTTTTTAAAGTGGGTTTGTTTTACACCATGATCTAATTAGGAGTGATGCGATAAAATCTTTATTTGATTTCTGTTTCTGTCACAGTGGGTAGTCCTACCCACTCATTGGTCTAAAATCCTCTGAAAACTGTTGTTGGCAATGCATCTAGTTAAAACATGGTGTTAGGATCAGGTTTTTCCCATCTTATTAATTCAGGAGTTTCAGTGTGACAATGTCCTGGCCTATTTCCACATTGTTTGAGGATGTTACAGGTCCCATATTTCCAAACTTACTTTCGTTGCCTTTATTATTCAGGCTCTTCGAGAGCAAGAAAACCCATCTAAA